CATGTATGATGGTGCTCCAAAAACATATAAGATTAGATTGTCTTCCAAACCAGACATGGCCTGTGATCTGCACACATAAAACTATGATGAGTTTTAAAAGGGAACAGTTTATTGTCTTTGCACAGGAATCCTCTATAGCCTTTGTCCACCACTGAAGTATCTTGATATGGTGGTATGTCTTCATAGTACACAGCTCAGCCTGAACCTTGTCCTGAATAAAACAAATTTACAAATATTACAGAATATTAAAGTGTTTACCACCCTAGACTTTACAGCATGTACATGCTGACTGCACAGAACATTAGAAAGTGCTGCCAAATGGAGATAAGAGATAAGCAATTCTTCAGCATAAGTGAACTTCAGTAAGATAAAGGTGAAATGTTGTCAGTTTACACAGAAGAAAACTGAAATTAAACGGAATGAAAAACAGGGTAAGCAAATTAGACACTTTAGTTTAGATGTTTGACTAGTTTTTATATACTATGTTTTAATTGTATTCCTGTACATCCATAGTTCCAGTACACATTTTACCGGAAAATACTTTTTTACTTGCAATAGAAACCTTGTGGAGTTTTTCCTTCTTGGAATGATAGCCTTCTGTTTCTCATGGCCGTACAACAATAGTGAGCAGTAATATTATATATATTAATATTAGATTAGATAATTAATCCATCTGTTTATTATAATTCTTCCATATACTGTAGTGCAGATGTGTTATCCATTCCTTTCCAAAACGCACCGTTCACATCATTTACAGGTTATTCACTAAAGAGTGGAGAAGGCAAGAGAAGTGAACAATCTATGACAGTGATGGCGAACCTTTTTCAACCCGAGTGCCCAAACTCCGACGCAAAATCAATTTATTTACCGCAAAGTGCCAGCGCTGAAAATAAGTTTAGTGCTGTATTGCAGTTCGGGCGCTCGGGTTTAAGAAACGTTCAACATCACTGCCTTAGGCCCCATTCACACCAAGCGACATACCTTACAAGCGGGGCCGGAATAGCGCGACTGTTCGGGGCGACGTTCCAGTGACGATCACACGACCTTCACCGTCGGGCTGCATTCAAAAATAGAAACATCACATGACATCCGCGGGAAAAAGGGTCCTGCTGAAGCGACGAGCGACATGGAGCTGTACATTAGAACAACTCCATTGAATAACATTGGCCGGCGACTTCTCGCGATTTTACGCACAGTGTGAATGGGGCCTTAGGCAAAATAGGGAAACACGCATATTCAAGCATTTATACACTTAATAAAACACATACACACGTAATGAAACACACACATCACACTTATTAAAACACACAGAACTACTAATAAAAATGAATAAATAAAACATTGCCCCCTCTCCTGCTTACCTGTTTTGCAGGGAGGTGGGCTGCATCCCTGGGGTCTCATCTCTGCATAGGAAGGTTGTTTCGCTCTCGGGAGGAGAGGGGGAAAGGCTGTGCGGCTCTCACGGGGGATCAGAACGTCCCAGATCGCGTCTGTAGTCGGGCCGGTCACAATCAGGCAGCGGTGATCTCTAAACAGGCAGATTAGACCGGGGTCCCAGCGAGGGGGAAGCGGCTGTCTAATCTGCCTGTTTAGAGGCCGCTGCCTGATTGTGACTGGCCCGGATCGCGTACTGAGGCGATCCGGGTCGGTCGGATCTATTTCCATTGATGGTCCCTGAACCTGGGCTCGCGTGCCAGGAGAAAGGGCCCCGCGTGCCATAGGTTCGCACCACTGATCTAGGACAACATAGGAGAACTATTTCTAATCAGCTATGTTGTCCTAGATTGTTCACTTTTCCTGCCTTCTCCAAACTCTTCACCCTTTTGTGAATAACCCTGTTGATGTCTCTAAGACAGCCATACACTCCTACACAAACTAGGCTCAGTATGAGTAGGAACCACTTAGCCTGCTATGTTTTTTGATTGCTGAAGGGAACAGGAACATCTGGAGGAGCACCGCTGCCTTCTTTTCTTTGGTTCTGATAATTACATTTTGTGTATTATATAGATAAAGATACAGTATATTGATGTGTCTCAGTTAGCGGAAGAGGACTATAATCAGCCGCAGTCTTGTTGCTACAACAATCTTTGCAATGTTCAAATAATTTCTCACATTACATATAAAATGATTACATAAAACTCAAATTAAATAGCGTACTAGTGCTGAATACAGCTATAAAAAATTAATCTATATTATAATGGGTGAATACATTGTAGTAAGGCAAAGGAGAAGAAACAAAACATCATTTATTATGAAGTCATATTCTCCCCCATTCACACTTGAGACATGTGACATTATGTGCCACGCTTATGTGTGTTTGTCATGCACAGGGCTGTCCATTCATTTCAATAGACTGTCCTATGTGCGACTAAATGTGGCAAAGAAGCTCATGCACGATTTTGAGCTTCGAGCTTTGCACGTTTTTTGTATGTTTGTCATGCATCTTTGCTTGGCGAGTTTGGGGTGCCATTAACAATGTATGGCACTGCAAGCATGACATGTTTTTGTGCATTTCGGGAACACACTCCAATTTGCACTATTGTGTGCGAGTGTTCACCCACTATAGGGGCTTAGTGCTACTGATATTAAAAGTGCCAAAGCACTATTGTTGTAATGTGTGCAATATATAGGAAAAGTGTTTATATGACATATTTTATCAGATAACAAAGTCATACAACTAGTTTAGGTGTATGTTACCCCAAAATGTAATCATTCATATGTGTGTCTGTGTTTTTATGGAGATGTTTGTAAATGTAACCTGTCCTCTTTTTATTTATTTTTTTTAAAGTGAAATACCTGGTGATCCTGCCAGTCCCCCTCCCATCTTGCTTCAATCTGGCCACGCCAAGCACAGAACAGAAGCAGATCTATGCTTGTGTGGTCAGTTTGTGTATCTGTAATTCCTGCTTGGAGTCACAGTTTCTGTATCTCCGGTGGATAGTTTAGCCCACTATCCCCTGGCCGGCCTTGCTGTGTTGATTGACAGGAGGAGCTTTTCTGTAAAACTTCAGCTGCTCTTATCCCGCTTAATGCAGACATGCCCCCCCTTCCCCATGGGGAAGAGGGAGTAAAGGGAGGCTGTATGGTCACGTGACTGCCAAATAAAACATAATAAAAATGTAAACAATTATTTTTTAACAAAGTATATCTAAAGCCAAAACTAGGACCTCTGTCAGGTTTGTATTGCGCTCTGTGTCCCCATTGGGGAGAGTCTGACTGTTATCACAAGAACAGATAATGAAGGGAAATCAAAAATGTTATGGCTGCCATGCCGCAAGACGTGGGGGAAATCTTTTAATGAAGACACTAGAAGTGTAGAGGAGGGTGGGAGGACAAAAATAGGAGAAGAAGGGGCTTCTGGTGTATTTGCTGTTCCCCCGAACGTCATATACACCAGACACAGATGAGAACAGAGGAGCCCAATTACTTTTGCACACAGTAACAGCGGTTCCTACAGCATCAAAACCCCCAGACAAAATGTACTTGATTCTGAAGATAGTTACTAACCCTAAAACCAATTAATGCACATCTGGCCATCTTAATGAATCATCTTTGTGCTGCTTCACTCTTCTACATGTATAATGTGCCATCAGTGTTGGGTGTTTATTAAAGAGTCGGGTGCTTGTCTAACACAAACCGGCTGCCTTTGTCTATAGCAGGGTTGTAAGCATTTGCTTTAATAATGATGGTTAGACTTGCAGCAGTATGTGTTGTGCTTTGTGACAGGTATTATACTGGTACACCTCTACTTGTGAGTCTGCAACATTATAGTAAATCTGTCGCCTAACATTTATCACTGCTCATGTTTTTCCACTGCCTTGTTGTGTGTCAGAGAGGATAAATCTGCCTGAGACCCTGTCACCAAAATTGCAGGAAAAATGGAGCATTTAAACTGCTCACTTGCAGCACTTTTCTCTTCAACAAATTATTGTATTCATTTTCAATGTGCTTTTGAACTTGCTGGAAAATATGGCTACTCCAGTAGAGTCCATTCCCCAGCACAGCCCTCTCCCTCCTTGCATGTCATAGCCCTCTCCTCTTCTAGGAGTGTCTAATAACACTCTGTGCTGGCCAAGCTCCCGAGCCCCTCCCCTCACCTCCCAGCTGTCAGGGGAGGAGTTATGGGGAATACAATAGAGTGTTACTTGAGTGACAGCTCTGAGTCTGCTTACATCACTTCCAAGATGGTGGCACTGAGCAGCAGTCTTGGTTCTCTCAGAAGTCTACACAAGAGAGGCTCATGCAGGCAAAAAAACATGCATAAAATATGGTAGATGCAGAATTAATCTTATGGGAAGATTTGTTGAAATTAATGGTCTGGGGATAGGTTCCCTTTAAAAGTTCCTGGGGATGTGGCAACACTACCTTCTGTCATATGCTTCCACTATTTCTCCCTGTATGGTGTTACATACCTATCTCTGGCCTTTCGGCAAGGCTCCCCTCTGAATCTGGTGACATGATGTTGCTCAGGTTCTCAAAACATAGCGGCCCTCTGGCTGAATTGTGGTTCTGGGGATGGCACGGGTTGAGGCACCACAGGAAGCACCACATTAAATTATTTACGGGGCCCCACTTTATATAAAATTGGCCATTTCCACACAAATGTTTGGAAACAAACATTGATTTTGCAAATTTGACTGAAGCAGATGAGAAAATGTTTCTAGTAAATATACAGATAGCATGTATAAACATTTCATTATTCACTTTGAATGTGCCATAAAAATGAAATAGCCATATTGCCAACTGTCCCCTCTGTTAAATATTGCTTTCTACACAGCAATAGCAACAGTGCCACCTGCAGGCTAAAATGTGAAAGCCTAGAAGAAAATTCTAATAATTCCAAAGATTGTTTTCCAGGGTTCTAAAATATGTTTAGGAAATAATGACATGACTTGTTATTAAAGGTGGGTGTAGAATGAAAAAAAAATAACATGAGCAGGCTTTTCCACTCTTCAGACAATGTTCCATAACACATTGTGACATTTCACACTCTGGAGAATAGGATAACTTGCAAAAATGAATCCTGAAACCCTGCCCAATGGAATATTGTGTCCTGTAACACTAGCAGGTTCCGGCTGAGCGGCTCAGGTGAGTCAGCAGAAATTAGATGCATTAACTGGTGTGTGTGTGTGTGTGTGTGTGGGCGCAGTGACAGCAGCCAGTGTAGTTCCACACTGTATAAAAGTCCTCACAGCACTTGGAAAGGCACAGTCAGAAAGTGTTCTTGCTTCAACAGTGATTGAACGGAACCTTCTCTGATATCAAGAGCTCACTTTTATTCTTTTCTATTCTTCAAGAATAACTCTGCAGCAAGATGAACTCTCAACTGCGCCAGAACTACAGCCATGACAGCGAAGCCGCTATTAACCGCGTGGTCAACCTGAAGATGTATGCATCTTATACCTACCTGTCACTGGTAAGTCCTATTGGCTTTGGTAATTTAGTAAAAACCTGCAGAGATATATGGATTTTATTTCTGGACACTGGTTTTCCAAAAGCTTTTGAAACACAGAAAGGTGGGAACAAAATATTGCTATATTTCCTAAAAAGAAAAATCATGAAAACCGAGTATTTATACCTTCTGTAAAATTCTGGACATATACATGACAGTTTTCATGCAATTTCAACCCCTTTGTACCAGCTTTCAATCTCAAAAACAACCAAACAGATCTGCTATCTACATTTCATGGTTTCAATAGAAGCTATTAGTAGTAGGCTGCATTCATCTGCTTGTTTTTAGGACTGAGGCTGGTTGACAGTGCATGCATGCATGAAAAGATTCCTGCCTGTCCTTAAACATATTAAAAAGAAATGTAATGTGCATATACATAGCAAAGGGAAATAACCTTACCTGTATGTATATCCTGCGAGAAACGAATCCTATAAACTAATATCATGAGCATGAGGCTCGGGTTCGAAGCCACCTTGGGTTCGAGGTGGACCCATTGTTTAGCGGTTTGGCGAAACTCAAAATATGTGGCTAAAAATTTGCACCTGACCCTTTATTGCATATTCTTCTCCCTGCTCTTATGGGTCCATGAGAGCCAATAATCTGAAAGAATAAACAAGCCAACCCCCTATTATAAAAATGTGGGCTCCCAGAAGCCATATTATCAGTGAGTGTTGAAGCCAGTTAGGGAAAGCTGACATCTGTGTTGGGCAGGAGTGGGCAAACTCTGGCCTCCCAGAGGTGGTGAAACTACAAATCCCATGCATTTGTCACTGGCAGTCATGCCTGTGGCTGTGAGAATCTTGCAATGCCTCATGGGATTTGTAGTTCCACAACAGCTGGAGGGCCGGAGTTTGCCCACCCCTGGTGTAGGGAGCTACCTTGCTATGCAGTGCTATACTATAGATTGAAGCTACATACCCGTTTTTATTCCCTTGTTCACAGTTCCATAGATCTAATTGTCCTTCATTTAGTATCAGCAGCAAGTATACCTGCTTGTTAGCCTCTGCGCCAGCCCTCTGCAGCATTTTTTTGTTTATCTGTGATTTATTAGGGTCTTTTATTTGGATGGGGAGATGTTGCATTTGATTTTGTCTTGCTAGTGCCCTTTTTAAATTTGGGGTCTGCAGCATACATTTGTTGCTGAACAGTTAATAGCACTTGCAGACAGCTTCCAAGGCACAGCAGGTAGACTGGGCTAAGAGGGCTCCTCAAAACAGAAGAAATCAATCCTAGTTTTTATTGGAAACATTTCTTATATAGCAGGGACGTGCGGTCAGGGGAGGCAGAGCCTCACCTAGAATTATGGAGGATAAAGCTGTCAGCTTCAAGTATGAAGCTGACAGCTTTTTCTCCATTCAGATCGGCATCTAACAGGTTACAGAGCAGGGAAATCCTCCCCGCTGTGTAACCTGTCATGAATGAAGCGCTGCCTGTTAATTACAAGCAGCGCTGCATCCGGCTTTTGACAGCTGGTTAGTGGGGGACAGGGAGGCTCCTCCCTTCCTCCTTCACACTGGCTTAGGAAGGGGGCTTCGTCGGTGGGGGAGGGCCTTTGGTCGGCAGGGGCAGGGCTTCGGTCGGCGGGGGCGGGGGAATGCCTCACCCAGAGTATGAGGTACCGCACGTCACTGTTATATAGTATCCTGTAGTGTTTTACCATATGCTTCTCAAACAAAGGTGTTCGTAAACCCTTTTTGCTCTGGGAGGGGATATAGAGAACATTTCTTTGCTCTGTTTAACAATTTGTAAACAACGTTTAACAATTGCAATTTTTTTCACACCTCATCCTCCAACCGGACGGCTGATCTGGCTCCATCCAGGAGTTAGCCATCATGCTGCAGTGTCTAATGGGTTCCTATCCGCCTATCACAATTTACAAACATATAGTTAAGTAGGGTATACACGGTTAGAATTTCATATTAACGTTCTGCAGAACTTCATTCATCCTAGCAAACGAAACCAACACTATTTAAAAGATATTTTTTGTTCGACGCTATCACCACCGAGGGTAATACCAATGTTTGGAAATCAAATAATGTTCAGTCTTCTTCCTGATCATTATTTTTTTGCACAGACGAATTACAACCTCCTTCAATATTTTCAAACATCAATGATCGAATTAAGAAATGCACATTCAGAATTTCGTTCATTCGAGAAACATTTTCCAACATGCTCCTTTGAGATATCGACAAAATCAACTTTGTTCGTATGAAATTTTAACCATGTATACCCTCCTTTAGTCTTTAATCCTCTCCTCCTGATATCTTTAAAGGAGAACTATGGGGTTAAGGCTTTTCCCCATAGTTCTCCTAAGGGTAACGGGAGGACACAAACTTGCGTCCTCCCGTCACCCTAAGCTCAGTATACCGCGAGCTAGAGCTCACGGTATACTGAGACACCGCAGTCGAAACGGATCCAGACAATTCTGTCTGGATCCATCCAGCTGTGTGAGTGACAGCTGGCTCTGCCTATCTAGAGGCAGGCCAGCTGTACACGCCCCCTCCCCCGTCCGTTCCGCCAGTCAGCGCTGCTGGATCGGACAGGGGAGGGGGGAATCCCTGCAGGGAGCCGTGAGTGACATTCACGGCTCTCTGCACGGATAGATCGAGAAGTGAGCGAGCGACAGTATGTGTTCGCTCACTTCCCGTTCTACTGAGCCGACCTGTGACAGTTTCATTTTTACAGGTCAGCTCAGATTATGAGGCTGAGTGAACATCACTCGCCTCATAATTCTCCTTTAAGAGCAGTCTGGCCAGAAAATAGATCATGCTACTAGTGAAACAGAAAGCTTACCAGGTATAGTTGTCTGCATTTTGATGCCTGTACAAAATATAATTGTTCTGGTATATAGAAAGCTAATTGAGCATCTGGAACTTACTGAATTATATAATTGTATAAAAACCACACTGCTATTTTTGGCTAATAATTATTTTTTAGTTAAAATGATATGTGAGGAGACTGAGGTGTAATATGGCGAATTCTGACAATCTTGTCTCTTTCATTTTAAGTCATACTATTTTGACTGTGACGATGTGGCACTACATCACGTGTCTGAGTTCTTCAAGGAATTAAGCCAGGAGGAGCGAGAGCACGCCGAGAGGTTCCTCAAGTACCAGAACAAGCGTGGGGGGCGTGTCCTTCTGCAGGACGTCAAGGTGAGATGAAAGAGAATGCTGAGGACATCACACTGATTAGTATGTCTCCTTCTAAGTACATGTGATTCACCTAGTTACATATCAACACTTAAAATGAATATCATTATTCAAAAAAACACCTTATTGTTTACATTTTAAACTTAGTTAAAACTTGTGTCTGGTTTTATTGCTGTCTGTTGCAGAAATGTTCACTTTCTGTCCCTATGACACCAGAACTTACGGGGGATGAGTGTCACTGAGCTATAAAAACCTGTCAAAGGTTCTAACTTTCCCTAACTATTGATGCAGAAGGGAGTGAGGGGAGATCTGTGAGGGGAACACAGAGAAAGACCTTCCCCACTTTATCCAAAATGAAAAAAACTTGGCTGGAAGTGAGTTTTGATATAACAGTCTAATGGTCCTTGTGTTGTTTTATTCCTCAGAAACCTGACCAGGACACTTGGGGAAACACTCTGGAGGCTATGCAGGTAGCTCTGAACCTGGAGAAGAATGTTAATCAGGCTCTGCTGGAATTGCACAATGTAGCAACAGACAGAAAAGATCCCCATGTGAGTAATGGTAACATACTGTAATACATGTTCAAGCACTTACATATCATGTGGCAATGTGGAAACCCCCCCAAAATTAGATCTAATGACATTCTATTTTGCTCCATTGGGATTCTGCGGCAGTCAGTACTTTAGCCTTGCAGTGAAGGGTTTTCCAATTGTATCACTGTAAATGGGAATCTTCTTTTAAATAGGAAAGCCAGACACCAAATACAGTTTGATAGAGAATCCAGTCAGCACAGTCTTGGTGATGTGCAGCTTTCAGAAAGCACATTCTCATACCAATAGTACTTCCACTCTTACAGTTCCCTGGAAGACCAAGCTAGAACCTCCATGTGGCCATAGTGAACACAAGGCTCGGCTAGTGGTTATAGAGGGATTTCCCAGAAAAGAATGTGTTACCTGCACAGCATATAAATAACATTTTACATTTTTATGATGCTTATCCTTTAATCTCAATACTGTCTCATTCAATGACCAATAACAAGCACGCAAAATTCCTGACCTACAGTACATACTTATTACTTGAACAAGTAATAGTATGAGATTTTGAAATCTCATATTTCTCATAGCACAGGTTTTCTTTAAAGGAAAATCTGTCACAAAACAGAATGCTTGTTCTAGGACTTATATGTAAAAGGCATATGTGGCTGCCCCATGTACAAATATGTACAAACTATAAAGAGAAACAAGGTTTTCAAGGCATTAACACTCACTAATAGAATTCAAGTGAATCTGTGCTTTGCCCATGTAGGGCAAAACAAAAGGCTCACTTTAATACTAGCCCTGCCAGCAGCACATAGCTACTTTTCCTCACTTATGTTTAGTAACACTCCTTCTGGGTTGGGGTCTTCACTCCCCTTCCACCACTATGACAGCGCTGGTACATGGCTATTAGATGCTTAGGCACCTAGTGCTGCCCCATAGAGGTACAGAGAGTCCTGAGCTTGTATAAGCTCCAATTTAGAGCTTACACAGGTCCCATTCTCTTCGCTCCAAGGTGGCCAAATTGAGCAGCAGTAGAGCAGAGGGAAGGAAAGTACATATGTAATGTAAACCCCACTTCAACAAAGCTTATGTTTACTTTACGTTAATCATATTCAAATTTATATCTAAAAACAATGTAAGACTATAATTTCACTTTAACATATTTCTCAGAGTAACTTTGACACAGCATCATTTTTATTAACCCACATGCTAAAGTAAATGACAACCGCAAACAATTGCCGCACTTCTACAAATACATCTTTTATTATTCACACATTTTATACAAAATGATACAGCAATGTAAGAAAAACCCTAGTCCATAAACACACTTAAAACGATTTCGTTCCCACCATATTGCAATAAGGGTGCTACATTCATATATTTGATGTGAATAATCAGAAACACTGCTAGGAGAGTCTGTAAAATGACCAGAGTTTTACATCAGGTAATAATATTGATATATTACTAGCACAATGCAAGTATACAATATAACACAAATACCAAACAATCCCTCCAGTTAAACATCTCACATACCTCTATAAAACCTGTCATGTACATGAGCGGTATAAAGATTAACAGGAGCTGAGGGTAAAGCACTGGGAGGTAGAAATGATTCTCTGAACAGAAAACGTAAGGCACAAATGCTTGGAGTAAGAAGTGAATGTAGACCCTGGGGAGGGAGAAGAGTGTTACTGGGTCATAGTGGGCGAGCACCCCAAGATACGCAGCTCCATGAGTTCCGTGGCTGAGCCACTTCATCAGGAGGCTAATTTTTTATTATCTTTCACCCCTAGCTATGCGACTTCTTGGAATCTGAGCATTTGAGGGAGCATGTGGACCACATTAAGACGATTGGACACCACATTACCAACCTGAAGCGCCTGGGTGTCCCCCAGAATGGCATGGGCGAATATCTGTTTGATAAGCACAGTCTTGAGGAAAGCAGCTAAGCTTGTCACTGAGTGGACACAGCCACAGTCCAACACATCAGAATACATAAAAAAACACCACAGGAATAATATCAGCAGCCTTATTGTATTTCCTGTGACATGTAACATGTGTGTTGTGATTGCGTTGAAGTAAACCAAGTTACATCATGCATTATGCTTGTTGTAGTGTTATTTATTCAGAAAAAGTATATATTAAAGCTGAAAATCAGGCAGGCATGAAACACTCCAATGCATTACATACAGTAGAGTACATTATCTGAGAGACAATAACCTCAAATATGTTTGAGTGCCAGAGCGCGGGAATATACCGGGACTTTGAGGCACAAAGCGGGATTGTCTCGGCAGCCAACTAATTTTGCCGCTAAGGTCAAGCTGCAGAAACATTGTGAGGCACCTTTAGGCCTTGTTCACACCAAATGCAGAGCAGATCCGGTCAGGTTTCTGCACACGCAGTGCAGTGGGTTGTGCCGCGTTTTTGATGCGTTCCGGGCCGTTTTTTGGTAAAAAAATAATTCTTTTTTTTAAGTTTAACATGGGCTTTCAGGCACTTGCATGTGTTTTTGCGTTTTGATGCGTTTTTGATGCGTTCCAGAGCAGGTAAAATAAGGTTTGCCGCAGTTTTTTCACCTGCTCTGGATCTGTACGCTGCGATGTGAACTGGAGCTCAAAATACCATAGGAATAAATTGGATGCAGTTTTGATTCGGTCTGCACCTGCTCTGCTCTGGATCTGCTCCGCGTTTGGTGTGAACAAGCCCTTACAGTGCCTGGGCACTGGAATAGGCAGCAAACCTGGTGAAAGTAATAATAAAAAGTCACAAGTGTACTAATCAGATAGCCAGACTAAAAGAATGGTTCAATGTTAAAATAATAAACTTTAGTAACTGCCTCCGTGCCGGCCCGGAGCTCTCTAGATCTGAGCGGGCGTATTTAGACGTCCGCTCAGACACGCCCCCTCGCGCACGCGAGCGGGAAATGGCCCTTTTTTTAAAACAGGCAGCGATGCCTGTTACCATACAAGCGATCCGCCGGCTTTAGGGCATATCTGTCCCCAAAAAATGGTATAAAATTCATTTCAGTACAGCGTTGCATGACGGAATAAATGTCAGTCAAACTACTCCAGCGCTGAACACTGAAAAATGGCCTGGCCAGGTAGGGGGTGTAAACACCTGGTCAGCAAGTGGTTAAATCACTGCTGTCATATCTGTTTTCTGCATGAGCCTTGACTGGTTGATGAACTATGTAGAAACCAATGCTTGTTTGATGGTCTTCTCTTTTGTCTGCTGATTTGGTACTTGACTTCAGTTACCTGACCACAACATCACACAGTCATGTTAGTGCTGGTGTTTCAACCCATGAACCACTTGAAGTGGTTAATATAAACTACAATGGTTAAAATCATGGCAATGAAGCAATGTGCTGGACTGTGCATCTTAATGTGAGCTGCGACTTAAGATCTATACCTGCTCCTGTGAAGAGAGTCCGTGCTGGGCGACTGGACCAGACCAGCTCTGGATCACTGTACCTGTTTTCTTTCACTGACAGTGAAGCCAGGGTACCCCCTGATGAAGTGCTGCACCAGCACCACCAGGTTGACACAGGACATGTGCCAGGCAAGGTATATGTGTAATTTTTCCCAGGTGAAGCAGGTTAGTGCTGTTGTCACGCATAGTTACATGGTTAAACAGAACACTATGCCCACAATTACCCCCTGTTGATCCAGAGGAAGGCAACCCCCCCCCAACATTTTCACATCTCTAACTGTGAAGAATCCTTTCCGTAAGCAAAGGTTAAACCTCTCTTCCTCCAGACGCAAAGAGTGCCCGCTTGTCCTTTGCACTGACCTTAAAGTGAATAATTTGGCACCAAGCTCTTTATATTGACCATTTATGTATTTATACATTGTGATCATGTCCCCCCTTAATCGCCTCTTCTCCAGAGAGAACAAATTCAGGTCAGCTAATCTTTCCTCATAGCTGAGCTCCTTCATGCCTCTTATGAGTTTAGTCGCCCTTCGATGCACTTTCTCCAGTTCCACAACATCCTGGTGTTTTATATCTGGCCAGATTTAAATGCAGCTAGTATAAGTATTTGAATGACTTTTGGAACCAGGTTTTTGTAATCTGTTTACCAGTGTTCAGTGGGAGAAGCCAGTACTATGAACTCCCCATTCTACTGTTGCAATATTGGTGGCCCAATCACACACTTGGGCCAGGTATGTCTCCTCGCTGCATTGTTTAATTGAATTAGAGAATAACCAGGTTACCAACCTGCCTGTGCTCCCTAGCAGGGCGGTGTAACTCCCAGGACTGGATGGACAGAAATACAAATCCTTTGACAGGTCAGCTATACCTTGCCACTGCACCATGCATTTCTTCATTGTGAGGCTTGCTCTGTCTCCTCACCAAAAGAGGCTGTGTATTATTTGTCGAAATGGTGGATGACATTTCCATAGGAATGTCAGATGCCTTCAGTTTCAGTGATGAAGTCTGCAAAGTCAAACTCCAGGTGAACAATATTTATTGCAATCATTTTAGCAAACCTTTCTTGCTTCTGTTGTGCTGATACTGATGTATATTTCACTCACTGACCAATAGGTGGGAATGTCTGCCTTCACTACAGCCACCTACTCAGGCTTTAGGTTGTAATAAGGGAAGCTGCAGCCCCAGTGTTCCTTAAAGTGGTATTACGGTCTGGGCGTTTTTTTACTTTAATACATTCTATGCATTAGGGTAAAAACCACCCACTACCTTTTTCTCTCCCACGTCACTCCCACATTTACCTGTTTTGCCACTGTCACCACTGCCGTTCCCAGAACTTCCTGGTTGTGGGGGAAGAATACTGAGGGCAGAGGAGCCATAGGCTCCTGCCATCAACCAAACTGTTGGGCAGAGAGCAGGGGCGTGCAGGGTCGGACTGACAACATATGTAGCCCCTGGGCAATAAGAGAACATGGGACCCATTGGGTTTTGGCCATATAAAATCCACTCAATGCATTATTACAAGGGGTGGGCAAATGTCATTCCTCTAGCTGTGGTAAAACTACAAATCGTTTAACGATAAAACGGGGAAGGGAAGGTATATGCACAATATCTCCAATATAATTAATGTAAATGGGGGTCCCCTAACTATTAGAAGTTTTTAGAAAAAGAAGTTTTCCCCAGGGAGAGGGGATCCCACCATTCGTTACACAATCTACGTGACAATTAAATGGTGAAAAGGTATAAATATATTTATTCAATAAAAATCTATAATGTTAGACTCTACGTACACAGAAAATCAGAAAAATATATTAATCAGACAGACAGATAATTGTATATACACAACAGACAGATAAATATATGTACAAAAATTGATGACTGCATACCGCCTATGAACCGGTAAGTAAATGGGTGGGTTAATAAGAAAATTCTTTGTCAATTAGGAGACATGCCGCTTAGAAAGCCAGGTGTGTTCATATATTTTTTTATAAAAAAGACAAAACGCTGTCCATGAAGTAAATTCCAATATATGCGGGATTTCCCGATAATTGCCCTAGTTTGAACTAAAGGGCACAAAAATATCGGAATTGTAGCTACGGAGGAAGCGTATCATGTGGACACAGCACCCATGGGGATCATGGAAGTGGGATAATACAGTTAATATGAGAAAGGGTATTTTTATATATATATAACTCACAGTCCCGGGATATCCTCGTTTCGATGTTTCCAAAGTAGGTTTCAAAGAAAAAATGGTAAGTTGAAACTGGAGTTTTGATGACTGGACAGATATCAGGAGGTGTAGATATTACCTCGGCTGGATACGATAGATGTTGCAAATCGTTGCCTTAACTCGATAGCTGTGTTCAGTTAACCGGATGAAGTTTCTCTTTGATTTTAATCCACACTTGGTCTTATACGAAGGGGAAAGATTTTTTCTGTAAATGAACCGAGGAGTCCTCCAAGGATATTTGTGCAGTATTCAAAGAAGAAAAAAGGGAAATTGACGGTGATTACACCTCGCTTAAGCCAGTCTCCATCCGCGTATAGGTGTACCGGAGGGTCTGGTTGGTGAGGTTCAGCTGTTATTTGTTGTCCATGAATTCCACATGGGAGAGTTTAGCAAACTCTAAGCCGGTTCCGAAAGGCCTTATTGTAAGGTAATCAAAGGCTTTAAAAGTGCAGACATGTCTCAGGCGGAGCAGTCACAAAAGGAAGAAAGAGCCTGAGCTGAACACCCGTGACGCGTTTCGCCCCTCCCACAAACGGGGCTTCCTCAGACAGGTGTTGCTCAGTTTAGGTTCTGTGGTTTCTTATAGATAACATGGTGATTGATGTTCATTAGTAACACCTGTGATCTCGTTCAGATGCACCACTTTTTCAAAGAGTATGTATACGTGTTTAGCATTTTAGATATACTAGAAGACGGTATGGTTTACTAAACAGCATATAAGCATCCATGTATACAAAAACGACATATCACCTTTAAAGACCATTTACATTAGAAGAGTAGAATATAGTTCTCCAGTGTTTCAATATTAGTTTTATTTTAGATATATGTGTAAGTGTCATATGCACATAGACAGATATCTTCATACTGGTTATACTTTCAAATCCAGTTTGTTTGGAAAGGGTGGCGGGGAGGACTTCCAACTATATAGAGTGTTATATACAGTCTAGATCGATTCAAGTGGCTATTTTTTGACTAGATTTTTTAAATCATAAGGCTTGTCTTGGTTTGGCCATTATAATAAACTTATATTGTGTTTAAGGATATATACACAGATTTCATGTTGGTCCTCCCTGACACCACTTTCCACTGGAAAGAAAGTATATTTTATGTTTATAGTGCATATTAAATAACAATATTTCTCAAAGTTACAAATATCCCTGCGAATATAACAAATTTCATCCCAAAGATTTATGAGCATAATACACGGTGAAAAAACGAACTTCAATACCGAAGGAAGAGAGAGAGGAGCGGAGGACGGAGAGAGATTCGACTATAAAAAGCAACTAAAGTTAATTGAGTCATTTAGTCCGGGTTTTTCATGAGATCTAGTGGAGTGAATCCATCTACATTCTCTTT